CAGCCCCAAGGGAGGGAACGTGGCCCCAGCCCAGGGGGATTTGCTGCTGAGCTCAGCCCTGGCAGCACCCAGTGCCCTCCAGGGTGGGTGATGGGGAGCTGGGGGGGCTCCAGTCACACCCTGCCCAGTCCCAGTTCACACTGCTGGGCCCAGCCTGAGGCTTTTCCTGCTCATCCCTGGGGTTTTCCTCCCTGCAGAGTCGCTGGGGAGTTGTTGGCTCTTTTTTGGGGGGATCAGGATATGCTCCTGCTGTGCTGTGCCCCAGGAGAAGGGGGAACAGGTGCCTGTGGTCTCCCTGCCACATCCCACAGGGAGATGCTCCATGGCAGGTCCTCCAGGCATCACCCACCTGCCCCTAAAACAGGACCTCAGAGAGGTCCAACACCCCTAAAAACTCCCAAATGGAGCTTGGCCAGGGCAAAAGGTGCAGACCCAGCCCTGTGCAGGAGCAGAACCAACCTAAAAACTCCCAAATGGGGCTTGGCCAGGGCAAAAGGTGCAGTCCCAGCCCTGTGCAGGAGCAGAACCAACCTACCTTCCTTCCTTCCTTCCCTCCTTCCTTCCTTCCCTTTCTATCCATCCACCCACCCCTCCCTCCATCTCTCCCTCTCTCCCTCCTTTCCTCCATTTCTCCCTCCTTTCCTCCCCATCCTCCTCTCCCCAGTCCCAGCACTGCCCTCCCCCACTCCCAGTTTGCTCCTGTCTAACTCCTGTTTGGCTCTGGCCAGTGGATAACATTCCTCTTTGGAATTCTGACCACTTCCCGCTGCTGTAATTCCCAGCCCTGCCTCAAACAGCAGCCCCAGAGGCTCCGGGGGTGGAGGAGGAGGGAAGTGCTGCGGGCAGAGCCTTTGTCAGACACAGCCCTAAAGTACAGAGTACGTGGGCCAAGTGCTGGTGGGAGCCAAACTGGGAAAACAGCTCCAGTTTGGTTGGGATCCAGGCAGGGCAGGGCAGGGGGGACAGGCTCTAATTGCAAACAGCCACTGCTGCTCCCTGTGTGCCACGGGACAGGGACAGGGACAGATCCAAGGAGCTGCTCCCCCCAGGCTGGGGATCCCCCTCATTCCCTGCCCAGCCCCAAGGAATGACTTTCCGGAATCCCTTTCCTACCTGCTGAAGCCACTCCCAGAGCTCTGCCAGCACTGATCCTGGTCCCTGGAGGATCCCAAACTTCCCCCGAGGTGGCAACAGACAACTCCAGGTGGGTAAATCCAGTCTTAATTCCAGGAGGGAACACAGGAGACCATTAAATCCTTGTGACACGAGGCCAGGAAGGGCAGGCAAGGCCATTCCAAGCTCTGCACATCCCTGGATCCCTCACACTGCCAGGAGGGGAAAAAACTGGGAAAAGGGAATAAATAGCAACAAAGGACTTGGTGAAGCTGCTGCTGCCTTGGCTGGGATGGGCACAGAGGGTGTTTGGGCACAGGAGACTGAAAGGGACCTGCAACACAGGCAGGAGCAGCTCTAACCCACCCTGGGCTGTCCCTGCTGCCATTGCAGAGCTCCTCCACCCTGGCACATCCCAGCCCAGGGCATCAGGCTCTGGATTTTGGCTAACACACAGCTGAAATGTCTCCAGATTTGGCTTTAATAGCTGGAGTCAGCCCAGAGGGAGCAGTGAGTGCACAGACACACTCCAGGGCTCTCCTCCCTGTCCAGCTGAGCAGGGAATTGCCACCCATTTCCAAAGGTTCCAGTGTGTTCTGGTTTGTTCTTTCCCAAAATCTCATCAAGCTGTGCCAGTCCAGGAGCTGCTCCAGTCTCACTGCAGGTCTCTGGTGGCTGCACAGTCCCTGTCCCAGGGAGCCTGTGGGACCCTCCACGGCCTCACTGGGGCTCCTGGAATGTCATGATGAGCTCCTGCTGCTCTTTAGTAATCCCCTGGAGACAGAAAAACAACCCA